GAGAGAGAGAGAGAGAGAGAGAGAGAGAGAGAGAGAGAGATACTGTGTACGTGCACACTCGAGAAGCGACAATGTTCAAATATACTCTTCATGTACTAGTACTAGACGCTTATTTATAACATTTATAAACCAAATACAAATCGTTTATTCGAGTAACAGATAACTTTCTTTATCTCTTTTTCGTTTGCCGAGATTCGCCTCTCTCGAATCATGTCGTCACGTGCCGTACGTATCGCATTACGTTACCATTGTTGAAATTCTTTATGTCGCAGCTCGATGAACTTCATTAATTAAGTTTATTAAATGAACAAGCAAATTTATATAATCACTTTTCTCAACATGAGAGACTTGAATACAGATCGGTTGAGACATGTACACTACTTTCGCGACACCTTGTATAGATGGTGTCGCTTAGATGTGCGGTGCGCGCCGTGGTAACCATCTTCGATAGAAAACGATTAGAAACAGTTATATGTGTATCGTTTTTAATCGTATCTCATCGGTTCTATCGTTACATATTTAAAAGACAGATCAAACGTTAATCGAATCAAATAGGTTTCTATCGTTTATTTAGATCCGAATAAGGAAATAACGATACAAATCTTATAATTATGAATCGTTTTCTATATGTACAATTATTACCCGTCTAAATCAATTGTGTGTATATATATATATACGGTAAAATTTTAAAATAGTATATATTGTGGTAAAAATTTTACCGTATGCATTAATGCGGATATATAAAGGATAAAATGATAGACATGTCATCGATATTTATACGACTTATTCGAACCGAAACATCTATCGTTTCTTATCAGGATTTTCCGACATACAACTCATCATCTTCTGTACGGCAGTTAATCGGTTCGTTTTCTGTCGTATATCAATGATATATAAATTGTGATACGTAACGTGAGTTTTTGATAGAGTATCGTAAATAAACAATTCACTACCCATATATTAAAAACGATGATATGTAACTGATTAGACATTTACGATAGGATTCCAAGTAACGTAATTTTCTGATAGAGTATCGTAAATAAACGATTCACTAATCATATTGAAAACCGCAATAAAAAATTGTTTATCGTTTTCTATCGTTGGCGGTTATCAGGGCGTGGATGTATGATGCACCGGATTCATAGTGGTTCTTCCGTGTTAACACCATCCTTACCTTCGTTGAACCACCGAGTGAGTTTCGAGCAGATTGAGTGAAAATAATCAGATTCGCACGGTGCGAGAAAGAATGGATAACGAGAATGCAAGCTGCTCGCATGACGGCAAAGAAAATGCTCAACTATCACTGCTAGATCTCCCGAAGGAGGTTTGTATAAGAAAAAGAAAAACTTCGATTTTCTCGTATTTCTCGTGCGCGAAATTCCTTTTCTTAATCGTCGCTGTCATTTCGTGAGTCTTCATTTCGTTAGAGCACGTATTATGGAACCCTTCGGAATGGATTCCGATCAGAATTATTCCATTTTTTCTAATAAACACTATAGAAATCTAGAAAATAACTAAGCAATTCCGATTGGAATCTATTCTAAAATAGTTCCGCAGTAAGTGTGCAGTATAAGTAATCGATAGAGTAAAGTATGCTCAATCAGCGACGGTCAACTATGGCCTAGTTTACACCGATCACTTGATACGCGTATTAAATAGTAAATAACTAGCAAATAAGTCTGATTATTGGCTGATCAGTTCAAATATACTATTTGATACGCGTATCAAGAGATCGGTGTAAACTAGGCCTATATCTCTTTCGTTCTGTCTTCATCCTCCATCTCTTCCGGAACATTTGTTTGGTTGTGCGTTTAATTATTTTATTGGACTGCATTTCAGATGTTCCTGCATATATGTTCCTTCTTAGATACGTCGACACTAGTACACGGTTTGATCCTCGTGTGCAAACAGTTCTATCAGATCTTAAAGGATGATGTCTTACTGTGGAAAGCGCGAATTAACCACATATTGCCGAATACTACCTACTCGCTTTTGCGTCCCGGTTAGATCAAATTGATAGCCTTACAACTTGCACGATCAATTATTTATATGAATAAATAAAACACTCTGTAAGTCATTTTAAACCAGTGCTGTTCAAACTTGCGATTGGACTGTATTTCAAATGTTCCTGCATATATGTTCCTTCTTAGATGCGTCGACGCTAGTACACGGTTTGAGCTTAGTGTGCAAACAGTTCTACCTGATTTTAAATGATGATGCCTTACTGCATATGTGGAAAGCGCGAATTGACCATATATTGCTGAATACTAGCCACTTGCTTTTGTGTCCCGGTTAGCTCAAATTGATAGTACCTTACGCCACAACCAATCCTTTTCGTCAGTAAATAGAACATTCTCTGTCATTTTATGCCAGCGCTGTTCGAAGCATTTGCAAGTCATACATTAGCTGCTTAGCTCGTGTTAGATTTTATTTCGTAGTATTTTATTTCTGTTTGCCTCTTAAAAAAAAATAAGCGTGTTTTACAAAACATATATTTCTTACTTACAAAGAGTCACATGAAACAAGCTTGAGCAGCTCCGTTTATTGCAATAACTTGATATGCATAAAGTAAGAACGTGAATAGATCTCTCGGTCTAGAATGTGCTTGTAGTTTATTTGTACTTAATTCAAGTTGCACGTATATGAATTTTTTTGTACTCAGTATCACGGTACGAATAATTTTTCATATTCTTTTGATATAAAAAGTCACGTGTTCTTACAGAGAAACCCGACAAACTGTTTTGGAAGTTGTCATACGTTGCGATCGAGAAACAAACAGCGCTGTTTGAGAAACCGCAGGATTCTATGAAAAAATTGTTTATTGAATATAGACACAGTGCAACTTCTGTGTTGCTGATGCCCGTAGTAAG